GACTTCAAGTGAAGTCTACTGACTAATAAGCTAAATACCAATTAGAACAAGAAAATTAATTAAAGCTAAACTATAACAAATAAACATGTCAAACTCCTACATAAGTAAGAACAATAAATAATACACACTTAAGAGTCAAAGAATAAATTTTATTTGTTACAAATATCTTATCAATTAATTTAATAAAAAAATTAATGTCGCAGACTGCAAACGAAGTCTACAGACTAATAAAACAAGAAACTTGATTTCACCAAATATATATATATATATAATATAAACATGTAAAACTGATACAAATGTAAGTACACTTACTAAAACAATCGTAAGACCAAAAAAATCTTAATAATTCGTTGTAAATTTGATAAAAACGTGTTTATAAAAAAAAGTGAAATAGTAGACTAACAACAAAGTTTAGAAAAGTATACTTGCAATGAAGTCTACAAATGTAGACTTCGTATGAAGTCTATATTTTAGGTTACTTTTGCAATTGCCAAAAAATGAGTAGACTTCTTCAAAGAAGTCTACTCACTCCGAGAAGTCTACTCGAGAAGTCTACGTAAAAAAAAGTTAGTTTTGCAATTGACCAATCTTTGACTTTTTTGTAAGAAGTCTACTTGCAAAAGTAGACTTCTTCGGAGAAGTCTACTTTTAAAGTAGACTTCTTAGAGGTTAGTTTTGCATTGACCAATGTTGACTTTTCAAAGTAGACTTCGCTTGAAGTCTATTTTTCCGAAGTCTAAGAAGTCTACTTTTGCGAGTAGACTTCTTACGAAAAAGTCAAAGGTTGGTCAATTGCAAAACTAACCCCTTTTTACGTAGACTTCTTTTGAAGTTTACACTATTTTTTTTTGTTGTCAAAGGAAATAGCGCAGACTTCAACTGAAGTCTACTGTCAGAAATTGGTACACCTGGTCAATTGCAAAACTAACATGTTTGTTGACCACCAGACTTCTTTTGAAGTCTACTACCGACAGTAGACTTCTTAAGAAGTCTACTTTCACGGCACAGATATGAAAACTCACGAAAATTGACTGAAAAATCACCTACCAGTGGTATTTAACTTATTCAACCACCGATTTCTTTGATTCCAGCCACCACCAAACAAGCCCAAACGATTTGCCAGACCAAATCACCAAATATGACAATATATTAAAACATCAAGTTTCAAAAATTTAGATTAGAGAGTTTTTGTGCTGAAAATGGTGAAAAAATGGAAGAGTAGAAGGTTAAGAGAAGAGGAAATGAGGTTACAAAGCTAAAAAATGGGTTTCTGAAGCAATAAAAGCTTCAAATTGGTTGAAAATGGTGATTGAATGAATTGATGGTGATGGCATTTTCGTGAATAAGTGAGGAAGATGAAGATTGTTTGGTAAAATAGATTTCCGAAATAATAATAAAAAACAATAATCTAATGGCATTTTAGTGAATAAATAGAACTAATAAGGATATAAGTAAGATAAAGTGATTAATTTCAAAAGTAGTAAAATGGGAGGTTAGTTTAGTAATTGACTTAAATTTATGGGTCATTTTTGCAAGATTCCCACAAATTTATGGACCAATCAAAAACAATAATTTGATTTATAATAACATACCTGTCTTTTGCAATGATCCAGAAATCATGTTATCGCTCAAATCCAAGCCTTGAAGGTTCTGAAAATCCGTTAATCCTGCAGTAAGGCAAATGTATATATAAAGAGAATATATGAAGTGTCCAAGTCAACGTCCCAACTCTATATTTTTCAGTTAAGGAAAGTTTTGGTATCTTTACCTGTCACTGGGACAATGATGACATCCACTATATATTATTTGAGAAGTAATATTATTGAAAATTGCTTACTTGTCAACACTATAATCAAAGTTAGTGCTTTTAATTGATGATATGTAAATGTGACATATCAAACTTCTTAAAATAAACGAAATATTTTGATTGGTTGAATTGAAATTATAGAAATTGTGGAATTAAAACATAAATAAACTAAATTATATTTATAACACTAAAATTAACAAATTTAAATTAACAGAAAATAAAATTTATTATAATTTTATTTTTTTACATATATTCATAATTTCATAAAAAATAATTACAAAATTTTTTCAACAATATATATATATATATTATAATTTCATATAAAAATAAAAAAATAATATTAAATTATCCAATAGAATAGTAAAAATTCTATTTATTAATAATACTTTAAGTATGATATATTTTTATTTCGGAAAGTTATTAATTAAATCTAAAAAAGTTTTAAATAAACAAATTATTAAATAATACAATTTTAAATAAAATACAATCATAATAAAAATAATTTAAAGAATAAAATGTTAAAAATAATAAAATAAATACCTTTTATTTATTTTATTTTTAAAAAACGTAATTTAAAAAAAAATATTTTCAAACCAATATTTACTAAATGAATAAAGTATATACTAATTATTATTTTATAATATTAATAGGACCATATATTTTTTATCACTTTAATCATCTTTTTATTGTTGTTTTCTAAAATATGCATAACTTATGTTACCATCTCATCTTATCTCTTATCATATTTTAAATAAAATTCAAATTTTATATCATATTAATATATATATATATATATATATATACATAATTTTGTTTTCATTGTATATCAAAATTTTGAGATCATAAATGAATTGAAAAATAACGGAACGAAAGAATAAATTATAATAAGATGAAACAATATGAATAAGAGATAAAAATAGAAGTATATAAAAATAAATCTCTCGCCCTTTGTTTTACATAGTCACTTAAAAAAATTTTAACACGTAAGAGCCATATTTTAATTTTTTTTTACAAATACGCGTACATATATAAATATTAGTTGTACATTAGTTGAAGTCACATGCGAACTTTTTTGTGCATGTATTTTGTTAAGATTGATTACAGTCTAATTTTTATTTTAATTATTATCCAATTTATATTTTTTTAGAAATCTTTATTATTCTAAGTGTAGTAAAGTGATTGGTATGCCCGCACATGCGTGCCAACCATCTATCCGCTCTTAGGAATAAGTAAAAATGGTAAAAAATATTTCAGTTTAATTTGCAATAAATCAAGAAAAATATATACTTAAAATATATTATATATGTATTTACAAACTCATATTATATAAGACGCAAAAAGCATATTGTAGATTGTGTAAGGAGAAATAAATCATATTAATATTATAAGAATTTAATTACTATTTAACATAACTTTTATATTTGTGATTATATACTATTACAAGCATTATAAAAATAAAAAAATTTAAAATACATTGATTTCAGAAAGAAGTTTGTGAAATATTAAAATAATATATATACATATATATACAAACATACAAATGTTTAAAATTTAAATATTATAATTAACTATGTATATCAACAAAATTATACCTGCACATATGTGCGTGCCAACCACCTAGTTATTTGTTAGATCCAGTAATTCTAGGTTTTTCAACCTTTTCAGTTCTGCACAACATGTTGAATTCAATCTATAAACAACGATTAAAGACTGAATTCGTTTTTAAAAACTGAAAATTTTTATTTATACGTAAAGTCAAACTAGACAGTTGATATTCAGTTATTTGAAATTGTGGATAGTAACCTTTCATCACAAAAGTCCCTCTCAAATTGTTTCCCTAAAAATTAAAGTCTTAAGTGATAAAGCAGCATTTAGAAAGGGTAAGACACTTTCATTCATGTTGTTGTAGCTAAGATCGAGGATCTTAAGCTTCTTCAATCTCCCGAGGCTTTTATAGCCTGCAAATAAGAAACAACTATGGCTTAGTTACGTGTTTAAATTTTCTGTTGATGGAAGTTGCGACAAATTATTGTCAACAAAATTATAAACGACAAATATGATAATTAAAAAAAAAAACAAATTGGCAGTAAATGATGAGATCATTGAGATGTCATACCATGGATGCCATCGAACAAGCCTCTACACCAGAAGTCACTTAGGTTTAGAGTCTGTAATTCTCCAAACGGATAGAATACGGAAAGATTTAGTAGGGAAGATGGACGGTTTGTAAAATTCAAGAAGAGGCCGATCACACGCCCACGGGTACCATCACACTTGACCCTTTCCCATCTGCAACAGTCGCTGTTCACATCATTAGGCCAACCATACGGAAACTCGGAGTTGTTGACATAAGCCTTTAGCTCCAACAATCCTTTCCTTTCACTTTCGATGCAACTTCTATACCCATCCACTTGCACCGATACTATTATCATCATCGTCATTATTATTATCATGACCATGTTGGGCAGATATCAACATTTAGAAATTTTAGTTTGACGTTATACTATAATCGTCCTAAGTTTTATAGTAATGTCAAGTTGACAAAGAATATTGATAACTTTATGTGTAGAGAATTTTGGGGAAGACTTTGACTTTACTGAAGAGACTTGGGCGAAGACTTTGACTTTTATGAGCTAAGTAGTGCGACGACTTTTACGGCCCAAAATTTATAGTTTGCTGATATTACCATAGCAGTTTGTGTTGAGTGTGCTAGTTGAGCTTCTTTTTGTTTGGAGAATACATTTGGATCAAATTTGACTCTAAATCAAAAGGGAACACTTCCAAAATGATTACCAAATGTAGAAGTAGTGCATAAACAAGCTTTGAACTTAGAAGATCTTAAATAAAATAAAAAAACATGACACGTAGTTTAAATGCCAACAAAAATACTCCAAATCAAACACATTTGAACCAACTGATAAAAGCATCAACAAGACGAAACCATGCTCGGCCCAAAATTTAAAGTTTGCTGATACTACCATAAGAAAACTCAAAAGTAGTTTGTGTTGATTGTGTTAGTTTGAGCTGCTTTTTGGTTTGGAAAATACATTTGGATCAAATTTGACTTTACATCAAAAGTGAACAACTCCAAAATGATTACAAAATAGAAGTAGTGCATAATAAGCTTTGAACTTAGAAGATCTTACATAAAGAAACAACATGACATGTAGTTTAATGCCAGCACACAAAAAAATCAAACACATTTAAAACAACTGATAAAAGCATCAACAAGACGAAACCATGCTCGGCGCCAAAGTGAATCAAAGCAAATAAACACAATAAATGTCATCCATGTTACGCCATAAGTGGCTGCGAGGGTCCAATAGAAAATCTCCATATCGATGGTTTCTTCATCTCCGCTTTGAGGTTCCTCGAAACTGATAGTGTTGTTATCATCACACCTTTTGTTTATGGCTGATCCACATAGAAGAGAATTACCTATGTAGTTGGTTTCATCCAAGCTAGAAAATTTGCCTTGACTAGGAATGGACCCTGAAAAGTTGTTGTACGACACATTGAATACAACCATATAGTGTAGCCTGCCTAGATCTTGAGGTATTGGTCCATGCAACAGGTTAAACGAAAGATCAATGCTCTCTATATTTATTAGATTAGAGAAGCTTTTAGGTATTAAACCTGACAAGGAGTTGTGAGACAGATTCAAAGCACGCATTCTCCAAAGATCTCCCAACTCCCCAAGGATTTCGCCATTGAGTTCATTATCTGACAAATCCAGCCCAAACATGAAGCCGAAACTTCTTTCGTTGTAAGAATCATACCTACTCTTTGATGCAAACTCAACAGTGAACTCCAAAACCCCTGTGTAGTCTGTAACATACTCACGTGGCAAAACCAAGAACCTAGAATAAACCTCCAATTCTTCATCATTAATCTCATATGGTAAATCGTAACCAATCTCGTAATCTAAGCTTCTTCCAAACGATACATTGTTGAGACATGATGGTATAATTCCATTGAGTTTGTTCTTGGAAAGATCCAAGATCCTAATGCTTTTTAGACCACATAGATCAGTAGGAATATTACCCGTTAATGCATTACCTCTCAACAAAAGAGAGAGGATAAACTGGTTGTTGACAAAGCGTGGGATAGTCCCGGATAGCTTGTTGTTTCGAAGGTCGAGTACCAAAACATTTTTCACCAACGTACTTGGAATCGTCCCGGTGAACTCATTGTCATGAATACAACAAACTCATATTCTGACCATTGAAGTGTGAAGGCAATTTACCTGAGAACTTGTTTCCAGAGAGGTCCAAGATTTTCATGGTAGGCATGTCAAAAAGGTTGCTTGGTAAAGTACCTTCCAAAAGATTATTTGCAACAAAAACATAGAAGCTCTGAAAGCCGCCGAACCAAGTTGGAAGGACACCTTGTAGATAGTTGTTCGACAAGTCGAGCACTCCTAGAGATGTTGAGCGTCGCAGTCCATTTTCAATTCCAGTAAATAGATTGTTATTCGCTATGAAGATGACCAAAGATCTAAAACTCGTTCTTTTCGGAAAGATTTGACCATGGAATCTGTTGTATGAAAGCTTCAAAGTATGCAGTGAACCACAACCAGTAAGAAAGCTCTTTGGTAGACTTCCAGAGAAGTTATTATGAGATAGGTCCACGAACTGTATATTTTTCATCTCACCGAAGGAAGATGGCAAATTTTCTTGAAACCTATTGTTCGAAAGATTCAAGTGTCTTATATTTGCAAGCACTTGTCCCATATTCTCTGGAAGCCGCTGATCAAAACTATTGGATGATACATCCAAAATTTGCAAACTGTGATTAAGTAGTAGCCTTGGCAGCTGAAGCATGGTGAAAGAGTTGTTCTGCAAAAGCAAAACCCGGAGTTCTTGAAATTTTTCCAGAAACCAAGAAGGAAACGATCCAGTCAACTTATTGTTGGAGAGATTGATTACACGCAAATCCTTCTGGTGCTGAAGAAAGCTTGGCACTGTTTCCAAGTTGCAGTTCTGTAACTCTATGACATTCAACTGAAACCTCAATGGTCGGGAGGATTCTTTCTCTATTTGCAGCAGATTAGATCTTGATGAAAGTTTGAACACTTTGAGCTTAGAGAGGTTGGCGATTAGCTTGAAAGAGAAGAAACCCTCGAACTCATTATCTGAGAGAGATAAGTACTCAATCGAAGTGAATCTACTGAGAAAAGATGGAAGCGTTCCATTAAATTGGTTTGATGAGATATCAAGAACTTGGAGTTGGGTCGTCAAGTTATCAAAACACTGAGGAAATTGACCTGTAAATTTGTTTTGACTCAGGTCAAGCTCCCGTAAATTTTTCAATTGACAAAGTCCTGCAACAAACCACATGCAAATTAAATTACATAAGAAGATCAAATGATAATTAGTTTTAAAATGTGTTTTTTTAATATTTCGCCAAGTCATATGCAATCTAGGAAGTTTGTAACTTTTGTATAGTAAAATATTTAGACAATTGAGAAACTATTTCTATTTTAAGATGTTTGACAAAATAATTTTATTTATCAAAATTTGCAAAATGATTATTTTTAACAAATTTAATAACTACAAAATACTAAAAATAAATATAATTCTTGCTAAAATATTTGAGAATATTATCGTTAAAAAACCACGCTGAAATAATTAATTTTAAATTTTTTAATATATTAGATTATTTTTTTAACAAATTGAACAACTACAAAATACTAAAAGTAAATTATAATTCTTACTAAAATATTAGAGGATATTATCGTAAAAAACCATGCTAAAGTAATTAATTTGCATTTTTTTAATATATTAAATTATTTTATTGAAATGTAAATGAAAAATGTTTTAGTTATATCAGCTGTTACTAAAACAAAGTAAGATAAAAAAGAAAAAGTTTTTATCAATATATATAAATAAATAAAAAGGAGAAAATAAGCAAATATGAGAGATGTACATAGAAGAGAAAGACATATATTTCACCAAATGACCATCATATATTTATTTTTTTGCGACAAAAGATGATTTATGATTATGGAGGGAAAAAAAAATTACCATTTTCGCTGAAGAAACACAATTTTATGATTTTGAAAGAAAAAAAGTACTTGATTACAGAGTTTTGATTTAAAACACAATTGTAATTTCTTTACTAAATCCATATCATACGAAATTTGTGGAAAAATGCTCTAAAATGATTCAGAATGATAAAATAATATAAAATATATACCTATTAAAGGAAAATTGTGATAATGATCTTTTTTACGATTTTTATAAATATCAGATTTATCTTTCTAACTACTGTTATTTATAAACTAATGACAAACTAATGACAAACTGAATGGACACTACTAGCATACTGATTAGTCAAATAATTGAATATAGACTACTCGCAGGTTAATGGTAGATTAATTATAAATTACTGGTATACTAATAGCAGAATAAAAGCAAACTAATGAACCTTTCTTATAAATCATTTTAGGAAGGATCATATATGATAATAAAATTGTCAAATGAGTTATTTTAAAAATTATTAATAGTTTGATAGAAAAATATATTTTTTGGGGGGAATTTTTAAATTGACGGCTTTGGCACCAAAATACTATCAATCAAAACACGATTCCACAATTTTGATTGGGAAACCGTATTCGATAGTTTTGGGAGTAAAGAAAATATTGTGTTGTTGGTGCCAAAACTCAGTTTTTGTAGTTTTAGCAGAAAAACTTGATCAAGTGGTTTTGACACGAAAAAGCGAATCCACTATTTTAGAGTAAAGGAAAGTTGTGGAATTTGACCGACAATAATTTCTTTTATTGTTATTATTATTAGATTATTTTGAGCCTAAACCCGTAATTCCTTAAAGCTTGAAACCATAGCATAACATGTAGTAATACTTTCATCTCAAGCAACACTTGCTTTGTGACTACGACTTCAAAATGGATTATGCATTTTCGATGCACAAAATAATAACTTTATGTAAAACATAAGTTATAATTAGGTTATGAAAAAAAAGTTTAGAATTTTGGTAATTATAAATGCATCTAAACTCTAGTTTAGACTTCTGGATGCTTTTTACTGTCCAATTTGTATATCTAAATGCATTTCTTTAACTTTACAAAAATGAACATCTAAATGCAAATACTGTATCTGTTGGTGAAACCAACATGCTATAATATATTAACAAAGATAATGAATTTGATATACACAAACATACCTGTGTTTTCCAATGATCCAGCAAATTCGTTATTGCTTAAATCTAAGCCTTTAAGTTTATGGAAAATCGCCAAGTCTGTGTGCCAAGGTAAAGAGATTGAATAAACAAATTTAAAAAGTTGCCAAGTCAAGATCCTGGACCTATAGATTTCGATCTATCAAGAAAAACATTGGCATCTTTAGATTACCTGGCACTGGACCAATGAATTTGTTCTTGCTTAGATCCAGTAGTTCTAGGTTTCTCAAGTTTTTCAGTTCTGCACAATAAGTGGTCATAAACAAGAATATAGAAAAATAAAAATTCTTGTAAAAACTGAAAATATCGATCTATAAATTAACTTTCGGCTTATTAAAAACATATAAAAATGGACGTACCTTTAAGTGGAAATATACCTTCCATAGAGTTTGCATGAAGAACCAAAGTTTTAAGCGATGAAACGGCATATAAAAAGGGTAAGACAGTATCATTGACGCTGTTTTCACTAAAATCAAGAATCTCAAGATATTTTAATCTCCCGAAACTTTTATAACCTGGAAATAAATAAAATTCCGATCATGTCGAGTTAAGAACGAACTATAGCTTCAATTATGTTCTTAGAATAGTTCCAAGCTAGACGATAAATATGGGAAATGGAACTAGAAGATGTACCATGGATATCATCGAACCAGCTACTAGACCAGAGATTACTTAGATTTAGAGTCTTTAATTCTCCAAAGGGATAGAACAAGGAAAGATTTAGAGGAGGACTATAGTATGTATCATTCAAGAAGAGACCAATCACACGCCCGCTAGTAAGATCACACTTGACTCTTTCCCATCGGCAACAGTCGATGTCTTTGCCATTAGGCCAGTCATACGAATACTCGGAGTTGAGATAGGCCTTGAGCTCCAACAATCCTTTCCTTTCGCTTTCGATGCAACTTTTAAATCCATGCACCTGCATTGATAGTATGATCATTACCATCATTATTTTCATCATCATCGTCGCCATTGAGAATTTTTTGTTTGACACTATGACTCTTCCCAAGTTTTGTTTTTTAAAAAAAGCAAAAGAACTCTTCCTAAGCATTACATTAATCTCATGGTAACAAACAAAATATTAATGACATCACGTGGGCATGTGGCGACTGAGACGGAAGTGTTAATCAATATACTGAAGAGTCTTTGATTACCTTTATGGGTTCAATTAGTTTTATGGCCCTAATATTATCTTAACTTAAGTCAAACTCAATATCCAATCTGACTATTGATATTCAAGGGGAATACTTTTAAAAAACATATATCAAATAGTGCATAACAAACTTTCAACTCAAAGATCTTACAAACTGAAACAACAATACATGTAGTCTAAATACCAATGGAAATACACCAAATCAAACAAATTTAAAAGAATTGATAGAAGCATCAACAAGATGAAACCATGCGCGGCCCAAGGTGAGTCAAAGCAAACAAACAAAATAAATCCCATCCATGTCACGATGTATGTGGCAGTGAGGCTCCAATAAAAGGTCCCCATATGAATTGATGTTCCATCGTGAGAATCTATTTCTTCGAAACTGGTAGTGTTGTTATCATCACAACTTCTATTTACAGGTGAGCCACAAAGAAAAGGATTACCAATGTAAATGGTTTCATCCAAGCTTAAAAATTTGCCTTCACTTGGAATAGAGCCTGAAAGGTTGTTGTATGACACATTGAATACAACTAAATAGTCTAACTTGGTTAGATCAGGAGGTATTGGTCCACACAACGCGTTAAACGAAAGATCAATGCTCTCTATATCTGTTAGATTGGAGAAGCTCTTGGGTACTTGACCTGTCAAGGAATTGTGGGACAGATTCAAAGCACGTATTCTCTCAAACTCTCCGAGCTCTCTTGGGATTTCACCACTGAGTTCATTACTTGATAAATCCAACCCAAAAATGAAGTCAAAACTTTCTCCAGTGTAAGAATCATATCTTCTCTTTGATGAAAAATCCACTTTAAAATCCAAATAGCCTGAGTAATCTATATTAACCTCAAGTGGTAAATCCAAGAACCTAGAAACAAAGGATCTTGAATACGACTCTAATTCATTATCGCCATTAACAATGCCAAATGAATCACTATGATTAGGATCTATCTCATAGTCTAAACTCCGTCCAAATGATACGTTGTTGAGACATGAAGGTATAGAACCATTCAGTTTGTTGTTAGCAAGATCCAAAATCTTGATGCTCTTCAGGTCACAAAGACTAGTAGGAATATGACCCGTTAATGCGTTACCCCTCAACAAAAGATAAAGAACGTACCGGTTACTAACAAAATGTGGGATCGTCCCGGATAATTTGTTATTTCGCAGATCAAGTAGCATGACATTTTCTAGCAACGTACTTGGAACCGGCCCACTAAACTCATTATTGTTGAGGTACAACAGAACCATATCCCGTCCATTAAAGTGGGTAGGCAAGCTCCCAGAAAACTTGTTTCTAGAGAGGTCCAAAAGCTTTAAGGATATGTTAAAAAGGGTGCTTGGTATTGTACCTTTTAGGAGATTATTTGACACTGAAAGATATAAGAAATGAAAGCCTCCGAACCAACTTGGGATGACACCTTGTAGAGAGTTATTTGACAAGTCAAGAAATATTAAACCACTTGAATAACTCAACCCATCTGCAATCCCTGTAAATAGATTGTTATCCGCAATCAACACCATTAGTTGCATCTTTGTTGGCTTTGAGAAAATTTGACCAGTAAATTTGTTGTATGAAAGCTTCAAAATACTCAGTGAATGACAACCAGTGCGAAAATTCTTTGGTAGAGTGCCAGATAAGTTGTTATGAGATAGGTCCAAAAAGTAAAGCTTTTTCATCTCACCAAATGAAGATGGCAAATTCCCTTGAAGCCCATTATTCCAAAGATTCAAGTGTCTTATATTTGGAAGCACCTGGCTGATATTCTCTGGAAGCCGTTCACCAAACTTGTTGAATGATACATCTAAGATGTGCAAGCTATGAACAAGTAATCTTGGAAGCTGAAAGATGGTGATAGAGTTATTCCGTAAAAGCAAAACCTGAAGTTTTGGATAGTTCTTGAGAAACCAAGATGGAGATATTCCGGTTAACTTGTTGTTGGAGAGATTAATAAGACACAAATCTTTCTGGCTCCAAAGAAAGCTAGGAACCATGCTGAAGTTGCAATATTGCAAGTCAATAACACTCAAATGAAAGCTCGGTTGTCCAAAGATTTCTGTTTCTATATGCAGCAAACTAGATCTTGATGAAAGTTTGAACACCTTGAGCTTCGAGAGGTTGGCAATTAATTTGAAAGAGAAGAAACCCTCAAACTCATTACCCGAGAGAGATAAGTACTTGAGAGAGATAAGATTGCTGATAAGAGATGGAATCGTCCCATTGAATTGGTTTGAAGAGATATCAAGAACTTCAATTAGGGTTAAGTTGCCAAAACACTTAGGTAGTAGACCTATAAATTTGTTCCGACTCAGATCAAGCTCCCGCAAATTTTTCAAATGACAAATTTCTACAACAATAAAATGCAAAGGCACAAGAAGATAAGAAAGTTAATTTTCTTAAAACTTAATTATATCCATAGAGATCAGAGCAAACATTTGTTTGATTATAAAGTCAAAACTTTTATTTGATTTTTACATACCTTGATGTTCCAACGATCCAGAAAATTTGTTATCGCTTTGATATACTTATATATTTCGCATATTTAACATGCATTTAGAGTAGTTTTCATGCATTCATCTTATATAATAGGCTAGGTTTACACCATTTTTGTCTTATTTTAGGTTCTAAGTGCATTTTGCATTAGCATTTGCATATTTCTTGCATTCTTGCATCATATTCAGGTTGTTTTGGATACACTGGAGCTATGGAGAGTGCGTGGACATGCTAAGGATTGAGAGGGAGCTTGTGGACACTTGGGAGAACTCAGCCATTCAGCAAAAGAACCGAGATCGAGGCGAAGATCGAACTAGGCAGGTCGATCTAGACGAGATCGACCAGAAGATCGAGACACTCGGGTCGTTTCAAGGATGAGGATCGAAGTCAAGATCGACCAAGGTGATCGATCGTGAGTACGGACGTGGACTAAGCCATGCAGAACGAGAGCCAAATCGAGTTTACGACTCGATCATCCGAGGATTGACTAGAAGATCGATAGAAGCACTCGATCCATACGACCGAATCAACCCAATGATCGAGCAAAAGAAGACGTTATAGCTGGGAGATCGAGTGATCATATCGACGACAGCTCAATCTCAGAACCTTATCCGGACAGCTCACTTTTGGATTTTAGTGAGGGGACCATTTTCTTGTTTACCCTTTTTTGGGATCGGGAGAGAACAATACATATTGTCCCCCTCTTGTTTTAGTTTTCTAGCTTATCTTTATGTTTTAGTCGCCATTGTTCTTGGTTTTTAGCTTTTGACATTTGTGAACCTTAATCTTGCTTAATCTTAAGTATTTTTCCATTAATCTTCTTGCTTACTAGTTTAATCATGTTTAACTTTTCATCCTTTGCATTTTCATCTGTTTTAAGCATGCGTAGTGAGTAGTCTTTCATGGGTTTAAGGTTGAGGTGATTAAGAGGGTTTAAGGGGTTTAAGCTTGGGACTTTTCTTGTTCTTAACTCATTCTCTTCTTGAATTTGGGGGTTTTAATGCCTAGAGAGTCTTGAGAAAGTTCTCTTTGCTCTCAGGGATTTCCTTACCTTGACAGGATTCAGGAATCCCCTAAAACCAAATCCAAGAGACTAGCTCATCCTTTCCCAAACGCCATGGATGCTTAGGGAGCTAGTTAGGCCATTATTTGAGATCTATGCTTAATGTTCTTCGACTCATCTTTCCACCACACGCCATGGGTTAGGAGGAAGGGTTGAGGAAAGGGTTTATACCAAACGCCATGGATAAACCTCTTTTAGCTTCTCAAAGCCTAGAGATAGCATAAAATGTGTAGATCTATGTTTTCAAAACCCAAGCTTGAACTTTAACCTTCTTAAACATGATCCTCAACTTTGAATCCTCTTTTAGCATTTAAAAACTCAAGGTTATCATTTCCTAGTCATAAAGTTTGCATCTTTAGTTTTAAAAATCATTGTTCAAGGTTGTTAGAAATTTCTCTGTTTATCTGCCTTTAGAGTTCGATTTTTATAAATTAGTAGTATTGCATTTTAAATTCCTAGAAGTAATCTAGTAGTTGTTTAACTCTTCAATAGGGATTTTAAAATAGTTTTCGTGGTCATTTGGTTGTTGCATTTAGTTTTTACTGATTTACTCCTCTATTTACCCAATTTCACTTAGATTTACTTAGCTCTTGCATTCCTAGTGTTCTTTCATCAACCTGAGCTGGATTGACACCTCTTGCACCTATACTACAACTATACAGTGTTTTAGGATCTTTGATTCAAACAGCTTGTAAGATCTTGTTATCAAATGGCGCCGTTGCCAACTTGGGTTTGAGTTGAAAGTATTAGGATTTGGAGCTTAGTAGAGACTAAGTTCTTATTTTTACTTTGGTTACTAATCTATCTACCTGCACACTTGTCTTCTCAGGTACATGAATCTGAGGTCTAGTGGTGACAACAATCTACTACAACCTCTAGACAACATTCATCAACTCGGAAGTGCAAGAGAAAGAAGGGCAAGAGAACAAGAACAACACTTTGAGGAGATATAGCAACCAGATCTTCTTGATTTTGAGGTCATGGCTGAGCAAGACCAAGCTGAGGCTCCACCTTACCGTGCTGCTGCTGGAAGGGGTAATGGAAACCCCAACCACGCCCCAAGGCAACCAAGGATCATTGGTGCGGGTGATGCACCAAACACTCATCACAACCGTTTTGGTATCACTCCACCACCGGTGCAAAACAACAACTTCGAGATCAAGCCAGGCTTTGTCTCAATGGTGCAGAACAACAAGTTCCATGGGCTTGCAATGGAGGATCCTTTGGAGCATCTCGACAACTTTGAGCAAGTGTGTGGAATGATCAAGATCAATGGGATCTCGGAGGACAGTTTCAAGCTTAGGCTTTTCCCTTTTTCACTTGGGGATAAAGCAAGGCATTGGGAGAAGACCTTACCTCAGGGGACTATAACCTCATGGGCTGATTGCAAGAAGGCGTTTCTATCAAAGTTCTTCTCAAGTACAAGAACAGCTCGCCTAAGGAGTGAGATAAGCGGTTTTACACAAAGGCAGAATGAGACCTTTAGTGAAGCAATGGAGCGGTTCAACGACTACACCATTGCATGTCCTCATCATGGCTTCAGTGAGGAGACACTCTTGAGAAAAATCTATAAATGAGCCATTCTAGATTCGAATGCTCCTAGAAACGGTGAGTAAAGGCAACTTTCTTGGTCAAAATGTAGAAGAGGGAATGGAGCTCATTGAAAATCTTGCTTTGAGTGATGGAAACTATGCTGAAGATTATGATAGAGAACCAAGAGGATATGACCTTGAGGCAAACAAGAAGGAGCTGAAGTCTCTTCATGAAAAGATTGACAAGTTGGTACTTGCAAACCAAAAGCATGTACACTTTGTGGGAGAAGCTACGAATGTTATTGAAGAGTTAGAGCTGAGCCAAGAGGAAGCGAATTGGGTTAGAGGTCAAGCCTATAATAAGCCACCAGGCTATGTTCAAGGGTACCAAGGCAACAACAATCTCTCTTACCTGTTAGAATAATTGCGGATGATTATGAGAAAGAGAGTATGAAATGAGTAAAAGGAGTGAAGAACATGAGTGAGGAAGAGAGTTTGATTAAGGATAGTATATTTCCTTAAGTTGAATGTTACAAATGTGGGCAATAGTCTATATATAGACTCACCTTGGTTACAACTTGAATCAATAAGACAAAGACAATAAGAATAAACAAAGGGATGATCTCCAAGGAAGCGAAAGTGACTTGTCATCAACGGTTGTCTCCTTAAGCAAACATGTGACCTTATCCTCTTGTTGTTTATTAAATCATGACCGTTGGAGTAGTAAGCATAGAACCGAGCATCTAGGTGACCGTTAGAGACTTAGCTTGTATGTCAAGCTTACTTGATGATCAAGCTTGAGTGGCTCAGTTCCCTAGGTGTACGGACTTGTACGGATGCTTCATCCTCCTTGTTTGATACTCCCCCTCAAGCTTTAACCGTGGTAAATGGTTAGAGCTTGGAGCCATGAAGGATCACCTCATTAAAAACCTCAATGTAGAAAACCTCATGGGACAAAACTACATTGAGGGAAAAAGAATGTGATCGAGCTCAAGCTGAGATGTCAACGAGCCCCATCTTGGAGTGGATGAACTCGTTGGTCTTCTGACTTGTTGCCTTGGTGAAGATATCGGCTAGTTGGTCTGAACTCTTTGTGTAGCATGGCAGGATGACTCCAAGCTGGACTTGCTCCCTGACTTTGTGACAATCCACCTCAATATGCTTGGTTCTTTCATGGAAGACCGAGTTTGATGCAATGTGTATAGCCGCTTGGTTGTCACAGTGCATGGTAATTGGTGTGCTTGTCTCACATCCAAGGTCTTTTAGAAGGTTCCTTAGCCACATTAGCTCGGTTGTTAACCTCCTCATGGCCCGGTACTCAGCTTCAGCACTAGAACATGCAACTACATTCTGCTTCTTGCTCTTCCAAGTAACTAGATTCCCACCAATGAAAGTGCAATATCCAGTAGTTGATGTTCTATCTACACGGTCTCCTGCCCAGTCTGCATCGCAATATCCCACAATCTCTGAGCTTCCGTTGCAACCCATCCAAATGCCATGACCGATTGTTCCTTGGACATAGCTGAGAATGCGCTTGACCATGCTCCAGTGATATGATTTTGGAGCTTTCATGTGTTGGCTAACCTGATTCACAGCAAAACACAAGTCAGGTCTAGTTATGGTAAGATAGATTAGCTTACCCACCATCCTGTGATATTGTGTGATATCTTCAAAGGGCTCATCTTCTAGCTCCCCCTTTCGGTCCACTTTGTAGCTATCTTCAAGGGGAGTTTTAGCTACTTTATCTCCAAGGTCTCCTGCTTCACTCAACATATCAAGCATATATTTTCTTTGTGAGAGAAACAAGCCTTCCTTAGATCTACAAACTTCAATACCTAAGACGTATTTTAGTTCACCTAGGTCTTTAATATCAAAAACATTCTTTAAATAGTCTTTAGTAGCAAGAATGTTTACCTTGTCATTCCCAGAGATGATTATATCATCTACATAAATGAGAATGACTACTATACCTTCTTGGCTGGTGAGAGTGAATAAGGTGTGATCCGCTTCTGATCTGCTGAATCCCCTATTAAATAGAACTCTACTCAACCGGTGGTACCATGCTCTTGGCGATTGCTTGAGACCATAAATCGCCTTTCTCAGCCTTAGTACTTTTCCATGGGCAACCTCTTTGTCTACACCAGGTGGTGGTGTCATGTAGACCTCCTCCTCAAGCTCTCCCTGCAGGAATGCATTCTTCACATCCATTTGCCAAAGATCCCATTCCAGGTTCACGGCAAGTGAGATGACTACTCTA